TGCAGAGGAAGTTCCAGGTAGCCAGAGAAACTGTCTCAAAAAAATAAAAATAAAAAATAAAAAACTGTTTCTTCATTTAGTCCAGTAAGTATATAATCACATTAAGTCAGAAACCATTATTTACCAGGTAATGAAATTAAAGCCCATTACAGTCCTTATGTCCCACAGTCAAAAAAAAAAAAGCAACATTAAATGGAATGGCCAGCACCTGATGTGAAATCCACCCCATGTGGCAAAGATAGATGAATGAAGAACCTACACACTTTAGAAGCAATTCTCATGTAAGTACAGGTTTAGACTGCGTTCTGCATGCACAGTTGCCTGTAAAAACCTGCCCTGGGATTTGCCTACGCACTACACTAATTAATGAACTGTGGGACAAATCTTGATCTACACAGATGAAAGATTCCTTTGACAGCACTTTCTCAAAAGACTTATCTGGATGATTTTTTTTTTTTCATTTCTCAGCTAATACCTCAGCTAATATTTAAAATCCTCCTTCCTTACAAGGATAAAATATTCCATATTCAAAAAGAGAAAACTATTAGAGGAGAGATGTTTAAATCTTTTTTTTAAGACTTACTTTTATCGTGTACACGTGCGCCTGAGTCTATAAATGTGCACCACGTGCGTGTATGTGCCCATGTCCACGGGGTCCAGAAGAGATTATGGGATACCCTGGCAGGACAAGTATAGACGATTATGAGCTGCCAATGTGAGTGCTAGGAACAGAACTCAGGTCCTCAGTGAACAGCAAGTGCTCCTCACTGCTAAGCCGTGTCTCCGGTCCTAGGATTTCCCTTCTTAATAAATAAATAAATAAATAAATAAACAAATAAACAAATAAACAAACAAGCAGATTCTATTCACTCTCCAAGAGTTTAGCACAAAAGCAAAAAGCAAGTTATCAGAGAGCACAGATACATAAACTATCCATCCCATCATTGCAATGGGAAGGCAGAGAACCCAGCAACAGGAAAAATGACCGGGGGGGGGGGGGGGGGGAGCGGTGCATACACACCTTTAAACCTAGCACTCAGCAAACAGAGGCAGGGGGACGTCTGTGAGTTCAAGGCCAGCCTGGTCTCCACATTGAGCTCCAGGCCGCCAAGGATATATATACAGTGAGGAACCTGTCTCAAAGAGACCAAATAAATAAACAGTGCAGGGACTCAGCAGAGGTGCCCGGGCATAGTTCCCAAATGTTTCAGTTGGCATCACCAGTTCAGGCTTTTTTTTCCTTTTCTGTTCTTTTCTTTAATTCTTTTTAATGATTCTTTTTTTTTTTTCTTTTTGTACATTGGGTGTTTTGTTTGCATGTGTGTTTGTGTGAGGGTGTCCGGTCCCCTAGAACTGGAGTTACAGGGTTAAGCTGCTTTGTGGGTGCTGGGAATTGAACCTGGGTCCTCTGAAAGAACAGCCAGTGCTCTTAACCTCTGAGCCGTCTCTCCAGCCCTCCCCTCCCGATCCCAGGCTGTTTTCTTAACCCAGCTTTACATGGAGCTAGTGGCGGTGAATTCTTTAACTGAGGGAAAGGTTATCATTTTTTTTTTAAGTAAATCTTGTTTGAAAAAACAATAGAGAACAGTTATTGAAGAAAAAAAAAAAGATATGTTCCAGGTAGAGGAGGGGAAAAGAAACAAAGATTGATTTCAAGGACACAAAGAAGATATAACTAACAAGAGGAAAAGGAAGACTCACTCTTCGCCCCACGGTAGGAGGCCAAGCCTCTCTTAGGCCATACATAAAATTTCGAGCCCAGCTGTACTTGCTGCAGCGATGAGGGTAATAAAAGTGAGAAACTGAGTAACATCCTGAAAAGGCAGAACTCTATAAAACTTAGAAGAAATGTTTTCCCAAAAGACTGCTATACACACATAATCAAAATCAGGCCTCCATACACATCAAACAGATAACTAAGTTATTCCACAAAAAAAAAAAAAAAAAAGCCATATTCTTCTGTCTATAATATGGTGTGTTCTCATTATAGGGCTTAATGGCACATGCCCATAAGTCTCACACTTAGAAAGCTGAAGCAGGAGGATCAAAAGTTCATGCTGACCTCGGCTACAAAATGAGTCCAGCCTGGGAAAGATGTGGCCTGTCTCAAAACACACACACACACACACACACACGCCCAAGCCCACACATACACACACACATTCCCATGCGCACACACACACAGGAGTTAAAATAGAGCCCACCAAAAAATTAAAATTAAGCTCACTGTGTACTCTGAATCCATTAAGAACAGTAATGATAATATTTCTGGCACAAATTAAGCCAGAAATACATCCCTGTGTTGTGGCACACAAGCCTGACCCAGGGATTTTTCTAATCACTCAAAAGCATCCCTCTTCTTATCTCTGCTAGATAATAACTTTCCATCAAAACCAACCTTTTCATGAGAAAGTTGATGAACTAATCAACTTTCATTAGTTGATGAACTAATGAAAATGAACTTGTTTGAGTTTATGTAATTTGTAAATTTGAAAAAATAAAAATAAAACAGAAATTCTGTAAATATTCAGGCCCTGAAGATTTAGAACTCCTCATTCATCTGCATACTGTCACAACTGCAGAAGTCAGATAAAGCAAAGGATGTGGGGAAAAGGAGGCAGGAATGTCTTCGTCCTTAAGCCCTACCATTACAGGAAGCATCTGCTCAGAGAACAATTAGCGGCCCCCCATGGTACAGTGATACTCTTCTTTCAAAGGGAAAGCATGCTTCTAGCAAAGTGAGTTTCAGTGGCCTGAATAAGTCAACAGTCCAGAGGCTCCCAGTGGGAAAAGCAGCATTTTCCCACTTTCCTTTTCAAAGATCCTTTCCAGTCCAGGGCAGCGTCTTCCATTCTAACCTTGAACATATGGGCGATAATCATCAAAAAAAAAAAAAAAAAAAAAAAAACTCTAATAATAACATTAAAACTGAGCCGTAATAATATGTATCCCCTAGTGTGGGACTGGAGAGATGGCTCAACAGGTAAGAGCACTGGCTGCTCTTCTGGAGGACCTGGGTTCAATTCCCAGCACCCACATGGTGGCTCACAACTGTCTGTAACTCCAGTTCCAAGGAATCTGATGCCCTCTTCTGGTCCCCGTGGCACAGCATGTGCACAGTATACATACAAACACGCAAGCACAATACTCATAACCATAAAATAAAATATAAAAAAATATTTAAACATCCAAGCAAAGCCCAAATATTTGTCACAATCCTTCACATTCGTCTGGACCCGACATTCTAGGAAAACTTCAGCAAAAATCATAATTCTTGATGAATAAATAATGAAGGTGAAACTGCTTAACGTTTTAATGCCTTTGATTTGATACTCACTCCAGTGTTTCTTTAGCAACTACCACAAACAACGGTTTGCTCGTTTTCAGAAATTTTAAGTCCAAAAATACAAAGGAAGTTCTGTCTCCACGTGTGAACGTGCCCTGTATCTGCTTCTTTAGGGCCATTGCTGCTAATGTCCGGACCCTGTAGCGAATGTCTAGGAGACATAGGGTGTAGAAGAGTTTAACTTGATAACCTCACAGGCTGGCCAGTTGCGTTGGCCTCCGCTTCACTGATGAGGATTCTGACGCTCAGAACAGCTAAGTGACCTGCTGAGAATCACAGTAGTTCTTGGAGCCAAGGCCATCGGCAAGCCCCAGGTCTATGACAGATCCCGTCACAAAAACAGGGCGGCTAGCTCCTGAGCGATGACTCATGGGTCGTCCTCTGGCCGCCACAAGCTCAGGCACACAAGCGCACGTGCACTCACACTCACACACAAGACAGCCGGGACTTTAAGAACCAGCCTACATTTCCTCTCCAGGGAAAGAAACCGCCTACCCGACTTTGTTCCCATAGTGAAAAACAGCCTACCCTCAGCACCTATTAACCCCTTTCCGGATTTCAAGCTTAAATTTCCCTTCCCAGCAAGTCAAGTTCCTGTAGAGAAAGAGTCGCCGAAACACAAACTTTTCTCCCGTTTGACGGTACCTTTCTTTCTTTCTATGCTGCTAAAGGATAAACTTTTATATAAGACACAACCGTGGAATCCCAACCACCCTGCATTGTGTGCTCTTACATGACTTAAAAACAAGCAAGTAAATGAATAGCTCCACAGCTGAGGAACGCACACCTCAGGTTCTGCTCTAAGTACACTTTTAGTTCAGTGTTTGCACTTGGGTGCCGCAGTACGGCTTATTTGAGTTTACCACCTCAAGTTGCACTCAGTGGGCATAGCGTGCTCTGTAACCAGGAAAAAAAAAAAAAACCACAATAAATACCCATTTTCATTTTTAAAAAGATGTTTTATATATTAATTAATTAATAATCCCTAGATTTAGTTTTCCCTTAATATTGGGGGGGGAGGGCTGAGGAAGGACACTCCTGGGCCCAATATAATCCTGGGACAGATTAGAATTCAACTTGGAGAGAAAAGATGTTGGTTCTTCTTATGAACAGGTGACGCTCTTTCACACGACGCTCTTCACCCTCCCACACACAACACTTTTAAATCACTGGGGGGAGGGGATGGTCAATAAAACTGGGTCTACTATTATTCTACGAAACCGAATTATGTCGCTCTTTTTTTTTTTTCCCTTCCCACTGGGTTATTCAGTAAATCATCGTGCGAGACAAGCATTTAGCTCTGCCCCGTTCTCTTCTGGGCACACGGTCGCCTGCATTTCCCAGCCTCCGTGTCCGTGCATGAACAGTGGTGGCAAGCACCGGTTCCAGGCCCGGCCCACAAACACCTCCCACGAAGGAAACTCCGGATGTTCTCTTCCCCCTGTAGCCTCAGATGAGATGCCATGCAGCCACACATGGAAGGAACGGGGGTCTTTGTCTACCTGGTAGGACGCTCGGGGACAGTTGCAGATTTTGCAAGCGTGAGCATCAAATGGGCACTGTGGAAGTCACCGCCACCTGGCTCGTACTGCCTAACCCGTGGCTCTATTATCCTATTCCAACTAGGGCTGTCAGACCGGGCAGGTTGTCTTACCTTTTTCAAAGACTCCTTCCGCTTTCAGGACGGAGACGGTTCTGTTGGAAACCTGCTTGAACACCTGAGCCTTCACAGTGACCTGGGGGGGACTGTTTTCCAGGAGCTCCACCCCAACAGTCACATTTGCTCCGGGCCTGATGATCCCTGGGGCCGTCACCAGAAAGCGGGACCTAAGGGGTTCCCAACAAAAGAAAAGCGAGGTTTCTCCTCTGCACACTTCCACTGGTCCTACTCTCTGCAAGAGTGAGGTCCCCCCCCCGCCGCCCCCCCCCCCGTCCCTGAAAGGGGGGGGGGCCCCCCCGCGCTTCCCCCCGACTGTAATCACGATTGATGTGGCGTGGGGCTGCTGCTTAGTAACACCACGAAATGCTACAGAAACCGTAATTCCTCAGACAGTTGGAACGCTCGGGAGCCAAGGGGGAAAACAAGCCATGCAGAAGTCACTGCAACACTCAAGTCTCCAGGCCTCATTAAAGATGACTTCATCTCCACGTTATTTTCTTGACAGAGAGAGAGAGACAGAGAGACAGAGAGAGGCCTAGAATTGGGATTTTTTTTTTCCTGCTCAAATCTTTGTGCTTGGCTATGCACCCAAGAGAGAGGAGACAGAAACCATCTAATTGATTGAAATCACCACCTGAAAACAAATGCCAGCAATGAAATCTCCAGCTTAGGACGCAGGTAAGTCCCCCCCCAAAGCAGCATATAAGTCCCTCAAAGAATGCGGTGGTGCACACTTAGCCTCATAACACTCAAGAGGCTGAGGCAACAGGACTGTCCAGGGTTCCTCAGTCAGCCTGAGCTACAAGTGAACACACACACACACACACACACACCATAAAAATAATAATTTCTTTGCTGAAGGTTAAAAAGACACTTAACAAATGGAGCACTTGATAGCGTCTAACTCTTGCTAATCTTCCCACGATACGGCACTCCCACTCTATTCCCATCTGTTCATTCACACTGACAGTGTCACGGTAGGAACATCCTGTTAGAAGAAGAAGAAGACGAAGAAGAAGAAGAAGAAGAAGAAGAAGAAGAAGAAGAAGAAGAAGA